GACATGGATGAAGCTGGAAACCATCATTCTGAGCAAACTATCACAAGGACAGAAAACCAAACACCGCCTGTTCTCACTCATAGGTCGGAACTGAACAATGAGAACACTTGGACTAGGATGGGGAACGTCACACACTGGGGTCTGTCGTGGGGTGGGGGTATGGGGGAGGGATAGCATTAGGAGATATACCTAATGTAAATGATGAGTTAATGGGTGCAGCACACCAACATGGCACATGTATACATATGTAACAAACCTGCATGTTGTGCACATGTACCCTAGAACTTAAAGTATAATAATAAAAAAAATTTTTTAATGTATTTTGAGGGAGAAGTTTCATCCTACACAGGCACTTTTTGTATACCCATTATGTACACCTGTTATGTGCACCTATTTTGTGCAAGGAATAGACAAGATTATGTACAAGGAATAGACAAGTTAGTTACACTGTCCCTAAAAACTTGTAATTTATCTGTCAGTGGAGACAGCTTGTGATATCTGGGAGACTGTAACAGTGCTTAACTTGATCTAAACCAGGGCTTCTCATCCTTGGCACTCTTGACATTTTGGGTCAGATAATTTTTTGTCTTCAGGGGTTATCCCATGCATCATATGATATCTCTTGCCTCTACCAGATGTCAGTAACAACCCTCCCTCTTCCAGTTGTGACAATCAAAAGTGTCTCCAGACATTAGACATTGCCAGATGTGTGGGGCAGGGTGGAAATTGCCCATGATTGAGATGATCTGGTTTAAACAGAGTGCTGTGGCAATGTGGGGACTGGCAGGGCCAACTTGGTTTGTAAAGTTGAATGGGAGCCATTCTGGCTTCATGGAAGGTAAAGTATTTACCTGGGCCTTGGAGGAGAGTAGGCTTTCTTTTTTTTGCATAGTGGAGGCTGAGGGAAGGCCACCTGCATAGGGGGAACACTATGTACAAAGGCACAGAAAAAGCAGCAGAGAGGCCAGAATGTCCAGGGAATGACGAATAGCCTTTTACAGTATAGGATTTTCAGGTGTGCTAGTAGTTAAGGCTGGGAAGATAAGATTGAGCTAAATCATGAGCAGTATTGAGTGCTATCACAGGGGGACTGGCTTTTATTTCCATAGATAGTGGAAAACCACCAAAGGTGTTTGAGTAAGGCAGTCACATGGGCCTCAGTTTCATCATTTATAAAATAATTAAACGTGAAGGTCCTTCCCAGCTCTGAATTTTGTGACGATGTTAATTGTGTGGCTGTGATCTGATCTGTTTTTTGTAGTGAAATAATTTTTGTGTCAGTAGGAGAAAGAATATAGGTCACGGAACCTTGAGTGAGAAGTAATAAAGGGCTGAGTTAGACAAAGTAAGTGGAAACGAAAGGGAGGGGACAGATTTCAGGGGATAGTTTGGAGTGAAAAACCAATGTAATTGAGCGATTGATTGTGGTAGTGTGAGTAGGGTGGGAGGATGGCCAGCAGTGCTGAGGATCTATCCTAGATAACCTGAAGACTGAGGAATCCAGTCACTGAGAGAAGAGCCACAGGGGTAAAGGCAGGGGTGATATTAAGCAAACAGTATTGTCCTGAGAGATCTGGATGAGAGCGTCTATCTGGTCTTCTAGTTCAGAAGTTGTAAAACTAATGACTTCAATTTTTGGGTATGTTGAATTTAAGATACCCAAGGAACATATGTGTCAGAATATCCACAGGACTATTGGAAATGTGAGTTTAGCAGTCAGCAGAGAATTTCATGCTGGGGTTGGAAATGTGGGGGACTAACTAGGTTGTGATACTTTTTAGTCTATATTTGTCAGTATGTATTCAACAGGTAAAACGAAGGCATGGTTCTGATACTAAGAAATAGGTGACAAGTGGCACTGGGGCTTCAAGTCTTAAATGACTTCTGTGTATGTGCAGATTTAGAAAGCAACACTGTTATGGAAAGCAACACTGGTACAGAATGCATACTTGTAAGCAACAAATTAGATTTACATATAGCAGGTGGGCGTGGTGGCTCATGCCTTAATTCCAGCACTTTGGGAAGCTGAGGCGGGTGAATCACCCAAGGTCAGGAGTTTAAGACCAGCCTGGCCAACATGGTGAAACCCTGTCTCTACTAAAAATACAAAAATTAGCTGGGCATGGTGGTGTGTACCTGTAATCCCAGCTACTCAGGAGGCTGAGGCAGGAGAATCGCTTGAATCTGGGAGGCAGAGGTTGCAGTGAGCCGAGATCATGCCACTGCACTCCAGCCTGGGTGCAGAGTGAGACCCTGTCTCAAAAAAAAAAAAGAAAAAAAAATTACATATAGCAATATAATGGCTCTTCAAGATGAATCTTAGCACTTGGTAAAACTGAAAGAAACTATGAGACAATGCGGTAGCATTTAAAACTTTTTAAATAATCCTGAATGCCTAGTATCTTTTTTTGTACAACTCACAAAGCTATATACATTCACAAGGTTGTGTAGCCACCACTATTGAATTCCAGAACATTTTCATCACCCTAAAAAGAAACCTTATATTCACTCCCTACTCATTTCCCATTAGCAGTCACTCCTCATTCTCTCCTCTCCCTACCCCTGACAACTATTCATCCCCTCTCTCTCCAGTGGATTTGCCTATTCCGGACATTTTATATAAATGAAATCATACAATATGTGGTGTTTTACGTCTGGCTTCTTTTATTTAGCAAAATGTTTTCAAGGTTCATCCATCTCGTGGTATGAATGTTTCATTCCTTTTTGTGGCTGAATAACATTCCATCGTATGACCAACCATGCCGTATCTTGTTTATCCATTTATCAGCTGATGAACATTTCAGTGGTTTTCCCTTTTTCGCTATTATGCACAGTGCTGCTGTGAACATGTACACATTTTTCTATGTACATAGGTTTTTTTTGTTGTTGTTGTTTTTTGTTTTTTGAGATGGGGTTTCGCTCTTGTCACTCAGGCTGGAGTGCCATGGCATGATCTCAGCTCACTGCAACCTCTGCCTCCCAGGTTCAAGAGATTCTCCTGCCTCAGCCTCCTGAGTAGCTGGGATTACAGGCACCTGCCAGCATGCCTGGCTAATTTTTGTATTTTTAGTAGAGATGGGGTTTCACCATGTTGGCCAGGCTGGTCTCAAACTCCTGACCTCAAGTGATCCACCCTCCTCAGCCTCCCAAAATGTTGGGATTACAGGCGTGAGCCACCACGCCCATTCCAGTTTTTGGATCTCTTGGTATATACCTTGGAGTAAAATTGCAGGCACAATGGCATTTTCACAAATTAAAAATAAATACATTCAAAACAGGAAGAATCCTCATTTTATAACAATACATATATACAAAAATTATACGTAACACATTAGAATGGTTGCCCATGGCAAAGAGTGGGAATGAGAGTAAGTATGAAGATAAAAGGGAATAAATAAATAAAGCAAAAGAGAGGCTTTGCCATGACAATGTGGGATGAGCTGAGGAATATGATTAATTCAGCCTCTGCCCTTGAGGTTCAAGAAAAAAATATAGGACCTTTTCACTGGAGGTACAATAAAATTGAACTTTCCCAATCCCAAACCTGTCACAAGGAACCTTAGGGCTTCTTGGATAATTTTAGAAAAGGCCACAGAACCAGGCGCAGTGGCTCACACCTGTAATCCCAGCGCTTTGGGAAGCTGAGGAGGGCGGATCATGAGGTCAAGAGATCAAGACCATCCTGGCCAACATGGTGAAACCCATCTCGACTAAAAATACAAAAATTAGCTGGGCACGGTAGTACGTGCCTGTAGTCCCAGCTAGTCAGGAGGCTGAGGCAGGAGAATTACTTGAACCTGGGAGGCAGAGGTTGCAGTGAGCTGAGATTGAGGCACTGCACTCCAGCCTGGCAACACAGCAAGACTCTGTCTAAAAAAAAAAAAAAGAAAAAAGAAAAAAAGAAAAGAAAAAGAAAAGTCCACAGAATAGATCTTATGATGATCCACAGAATTCCTTAAATTTATTTTTATTAAAGGATTTTTTCCTAATTATTAAAAAAACACATTCCCATTGTGGGGAATTAGAAAATACAGAAAAATACATGTGAGAAAATGATATCTGTAGTAATTCTACCCCATATATAACTACAGATAGTGTTTTGGGTTTCGAATTTCTTATTTAGTTTTTAATTTAGTGTCTAATTTGTACCATTTGGTGCAGTCTTGTCATTTTGTGTCTTTGTTTAAAATAATGCTTTGCAGATGAAAGAATGCTTAAGATGTTTTAAAGAGTAGTTATAGCAATGGTGTATTAGCAATGTCACAGCTTTCTAGAAGGCAACCAAAACTGAAATTCCCTTTTTTCTCTTGGTATTGTATTACAGGAAGAAGCTGCGAAGATCCTGCTGGCTGAGTTCAACCTGGGCTGTGACGTGCAACACACTGAACACGTGTACAGGGTTTATGTCACAACTTTTCTGGGTTTTGGAGGCAACTTTGCCCGGCAGCGCTACGAAGACCTTGTTCTGAATGAAACTCTTAACAAAAACAGGTACATTTGACATGGGATCTGAGTTTCTGAAGTATAATGTCAGGCTGCAGATATTAGGGAGAAATACTCACATCCTCCTAAGATAGATAAGTCCCTGCTTCCTCCTTTCTGACTACCCCTGCCAATGGGGTAGCATCTCTTAAAGACCTCTATTAGCAGTCCCACTCTGGGTGAGGGTACGTTCTGATCTTTGTTATTAGGACTAATAAAGTACAGTAGCTTATTGTGATCTCTTGCTGTTTCCCATATTCAGACCTGACATCATGGGGAAAAGGGAGATGAATTAAATTGCCAATTATGTACAATATATAGTGTAGCTGCCAGCAGTTCCTTCTGCAGGGAAGTGTTTAAGACATGTTTGTTGAATTACAGTGCAGTTGCATCTTTAGTGGGAGTTCAGTTCTGTAGTATGTCTAAAAGATAAAAAGCAAGCGTAGTTAAAATTAACTTTTAAAATGGTCTCTCATCAAATTCAGAATAGTCAGTTTTTCCTTTAGCATTGAACAGATCACAGATTCTTCATTTGAGTACCAGATGAAGTAGTTAGACAATAATGTGGTGGGATTTCTTGTTTCTTTTTAAGTATGTACAATTATTATTATACACATTGAAGGAAAGCATAAGAGAAAGCAGAGTTCTTTTCCATGATAAAATTTACACAAAATTTTGGAGTGAAAACCGGTATAACTGAGTGATTGATTGTCGTGGTGTAGGTAGGGCAGGGAGGATGGTCAGCAGTGCTGAGGGTTTAGCCTAGGTAACCAGAAGGATGAGAAACCCAATCACTGAGAGAAGGACCACAGGTGAAAGGGCAGGGCTGATACTAAGCAAACAACACACTTACCTATATATACTTAACCATTTAGCTAGAAACACTAGCTTGAAGAGGTACTGGTATATCCCATTTGTAATAATTTATCCACAGCAATTATCTTATATTTACAGCATGTTGAAGAAAATATTGTCCCATAAGGCTTTTTTGTTTTTGTAAGTCTTAGTCTCTAGGAGTTCAAGGTGCTTGGGTGAATCCTGGTGCCTTGGATGATTGACAAATGCATTAAAATCAAGTGGTGTGTTTGTGTTCTGAAAGTACTCCTAAATCTGTACAAACATTGCTTGGGTTGAGGTGCTCAGATGTCTCCTGCTGGCACTATGATGTTTGAAGATCATTTGTTGTGAAAGTGTCACACCAGTCTTGGTTTTTCTTCTTCATTAGCTGCTGTGCTTCCTTTTCTATTTTCTTCTTTTGTTGTTCTACTGCTTTCTTTCTGTCTGCTGTTTTCTGCTGCCTCCGAACTACTTCTTGCCAGACTGCATCTTCTTCTTCCCATGCATTGGTATTTTCTTGCGAAGTAGCTAAGTCACCTACTTCAGGTGATTGATGAGTAAAAGGCATATGTTGCATAGCTGCCAGTCTACTAACCTGTTGCCTGAGATGGCAAAACGATCATTTTGTCTTCTCAATAACAATTTTCTGAGTTTTCCTTACAGTTGGTGTCACATCCTTAAAATAGTCAGTTCCAGTTGTTGTAAAGTGTTCTGTTGTACTGCTTCATTCCATTCTTACCCTCAGTCTTTACACTTGTGGGTACATTCTCTTTCTAAGAAGTCTACTCTTCAACATCTGTCTGTTTAGGAACTGATCAATAATTAACTGCAATTGGCAAAGTTATTTGGACCCCAACTTAATTTCTGTCCTTGGACAGATCTTCATACACATCTTTTTGAGGAATGAGAATATGGTTGCTAGGCAAGTATAAACTCAAAATAACTGGAACTGTGTTACAGCCATGGTGGGAATCAAGGCTTTCCACTCTTCTTCCCACTCAGAGGCTCCAGGCTCTGCAGGTGGCTTCCTGGAGCTGGTGCTGTGCCTGTTCTGTTCCAGCACTGCTCATTCAGAGGCATGTGTTGGGTCCATCACCATTGCCAGCCATTGTAGATGGACCACTGCCGTGGTTCGCTCTTTAGGAATCTCTCCCCACAGCCCTTCCCACCTCATCCCCTACCAGTTGTATTTTTAAACATTAGAACCACACTCCGCATGATAAGGTTCTTTGCACTTTTAAGAGGTGTGTGGGAATGAAGACCAGATAGAGAACAGCAGATTCACGTCTCCAGTTTCACTACACACTAGGAAATACACGTTGACTAAAACGTCGAACAGAATTGATCACCATATTCCTCTCACTTTTTGTTTGTTTGTTTGTTTTTGTCATTGTGGCAGATTGCTGGGTCAGAAGACAGGTCTGAGTCCTGACAATCCATTTCTGGATCCCTGCCTGCCGGTGGGACTCACAGATGTGGTGGAGAGGAACAGCCAAGTCTTGCATGTCCGAGGAAGAGGAGACTGGGTGTCTTGTGGGGCAATGCTGAGCCCCCTGCTGGCTCGCTCCAACACCAGCCAGGCCTCACTCAATGGCATCTATCAATCGCCAATTGACTTCAACAACAGCGAGTTCTACGGCTTCTCTGAGTTTTTTTACTGTACAGAGGATGTGTTGCGCATTGGTGGCCGCTATCATGGGCCAACATTTGCCAAGGCTGCTCAGGTAAATTATTAATGATAAACATGGCTTATGCTGGCAGCAGCCATTTATTGAATGTCTCACTCTGTGCCAGGTGCTGTGCAAAGGGCTCTGCATACACAATCTCACTTGTTCTTTGCAGGAGCCCTTTGACCCTCATTTTACAGATGAGGAAGTGGACTCAGAGAACTTAAGGATCTAGCTATGCTGTACTGCCTTCTAATTAACTAAATTTAGTTTCCATGGATGTCATATCACCCAAATTATTACCCAGGTGTAAAATTTTTCTGTTGGCTAATGGCTTTTCTTCCAGCTTTCCAATAATCTTGTTTAATGTTTATGCCCAAGAAATTCACCTTCAGTATTTTTTCCCTTGCTAACTATTCTCTGTTGTAATGTGCTTTTGGAGATTATATCACCCAGAGAGGCAAGTCTATCTTTCTTTTGGTTTGAGGTATTAAGAGGCTAGAGTGGTATGGGTTCCCTGGGAATATTAGATGTTGTAAAAAGCAATGATGATAGAAGTTTGTTTAGATTTAAAATAGAGAAGGAGTAAAAATTTGCTTTGAGCATATATAGGACTTAAGCATCGTATAAGCTTAAATCATTGGTTACCTGGACAGATAAAAGTTTAGCCAGCTTTCTATCATTTTCTGCTTAATTTAGGGCCATTTCTTTGAATTGTTGTGTATCTGTATGTTTTTCATCAGAGAAACTAATGGGAGAATCTGTCCTCATATATTTTTTTTTTTTTTGAGACGGAGTCTTGCTCTGTAGCCCAGGCTGGAGTGCAGTGGCAGGATCTCAGCTCACTGCAACCTCTGCCTTCTGGGTTCAAGTGATTCTCCTGCCTCAACCTCCTGAATAGCTGGGATTACAGATGCCCACCACCATACCTGGCTAATTTTTTTATTTTTAATAGAGATGGAGTTTTGCCATGTTGGCCAGGCTGGTCTCGAAGCCCTGGCCTCAGGTGATCTGCCCACCTCGGCCTCCCAAAGTGCTGAAATTACAGGCGTGAGTCACCGCACCCAGCCTCTCCTCATATTTCCCTCCCTCCCTCCCTTCCTTCCTTCTTCCCTGCCTTCCTTTCTTTCTTTCTTACAATTCTCTAGGGTTCTCTTAGTGTAAGGCTTCCAGCAAAATAATATCTGCAGTATCTGTACCATTCTGTTCCCAAAAGACAGTCCTTAAGAAATATTGTGGGACACCTGGTTTGTATTTGCTCCTTTCTCTCCAGCCTCCAGGAAGACCTTCATGCTCCCTTTTTTTCTGGAGCCCAGAGCTTCCTAACCATCCATGGCCTGACTCTTTCTCTTATCTCTAAACTTCTTCAACTTCTATTCCCTTGCACACCAAAAGGCTCAAGTTATTGCTTGCCAACATTGCTAGTGGCTTAATATGTTATCTTTTCCAGGTAAAAGAGTGATTCTGTTCCCTTACCTTTTTAACTTTGACTCAAACGTTATCTTCCCAGAGCCACCTTCTGGGACTACTCTATCCAAAATGACAGTGCTCCCCATATTACCTGTTGCCCTTTCCTGCTTTATTTTTCCCTGAGCATTTATGTTATCCAGCGTACTGTGTGTGTGTGTGTGTGTGTGCGCGTGCGTGTGTGCGTGTGTGCGTGTGTGTGTTTATTGTCTGTCTCCTACCACTAGAATGTAAGCTTCCTGAGGACAGGAATTTTTGTCTGTTTTATTTACTGCATGATTCCCTGACATCTAGAACAGCACCTGGCACATAGGAGACATTTAGTAGATGTTAGTTCACTGAACAAACCAAAAGGAATGATTCTTTTGGTGAGAATTACAACACTGAGGGAGGCCAATAACAGGTTTCTAACCATCCTCTTCCATCTGCTCTCCCTGCTCATGTCAGTCCTATGTGGAGTAGAATGAAACTATCTTTGGCTTTTGACGTTGCTATTTGTTAGTCCTAACCTCATCCCCTCTGAAGCCTAAGAGGCTCAGAAACCACATCAGGCTGGCTTGGTGCTAGACATGGGATGATAGGAATAAACAGGGGTATGGTGCAGTGTTTAGTGAGTGAATATGCCATTTCTGTTTTCCTTTGTCAGCTAGTAGCCCACAAGTAACTTTAGAAATGGAATAGCTGTGACTGTGGGGAAGGTAGAGAGTTTGCCTCCAGATTTATGTTGAACTATTTCTGTGGTTGATCCAGGATTACTGTGGCATGGCTTGGTCAGTACTAACTCAGAGATTCAAGAATGGCCTCTTTTCATCACATGCAGATGAGCATCGACTCAAGTAAGTCACTTCCCTTTCCTGCTTAGATGTGGCCTTAAAATCTAGATGGCAGATTGTAATGGAGAGAGAGTGAGCAATAATGCAGATTAGATTTCATGTTGAGGGAGCATTTGATTATTCCAGATTTGATTTTCCAAGGGATGGGGCCAAAATAGTGAGCCTATTATAGCAAAGCCAGAGGGAATCAGTGCCCACCAGAGTTCTCATCAAGTGATTTGACATCAAAAGTGATTTTTTTTTCTTTTTTTGAGACAGGGTCTCACTTTGTCGCCCAGGCTGGAGTGCAGTGGCACAATCTTAGCTCACTGCAATCTCCACCTCCTGGGTTCCAGCGATTCTCCTGCCTCAGCCCCCCAAGTAGCTGGGACTATAGGCACGTGCCAACATGCCTGGCCAATTTTTGTTTTTTTTGTAGAGACGGGGTTTCGCAGTGTTGCCAGGCTGGTCTTGAACTCCTGAGCTCAAGTGATCCACCTGCCTCACCCTCTCAGAGTGCTAGAATTACAGGCATGAGCCACCGGGCCTGGCCAAAAGTGATGATTTTTTTAAAACTTTGTATTATAGATAATATCAAACATATAGAACAGCAGAGAGAATAGCAACATAAACCCTCATGTAACTATCACAGAGCTTCAGCAAATAACATTTTGCCAGTATGGTTCATTGGTCCTTTCATTTTTAAATATTTTAGTTAAAAATTGTTTAACATTGCGGAGCATGGTTCATGCCTGTAATCCTAGCACTTTGGGAGGCTGAGGCGGGTGGATCACCTGAGGTCAGGAGTTCAAGACCAGCCTGGCCAACATGGCAAAACCCCATCTCCTCTAAAAATACAAAAATTAGCTGGGCATGGTGGCAGGTGCCTCTAATCGCAGCTACTTGGGAGGCTGAGGCAGGGAGAATTGCTTGAGCTCAGGAGGTGGAGGTTGTAGTGAGCCGAGATCATGCCACTGTACTCCAGCCTGGGCGACAGAGGGAGACTCTGTCTCAAAAAAAAAAAAAAAAAAAAAGAATAAAAAAATAAAAATTGTTTAACATAAATAAAACTAGAAGAGTGTCATCAACTCCTGTGAACCTGTCACCCTGCTTTCCTACTAACAGTTATCAGCTCTTGGCCCTTCTTTGTTTTTATCTGTTTTCCCACCCACAATCCCCCTCTTACTACAACTGGGTTGTTTTGAAGCAAATCCCAAACATCATATAATTACATCTGTAGATATTTCAATATGCTCTCTGAAGATAGGGACTCTTAAAGAAAAAGAAGAACACAGCCACAGTATCATTACTGCCTTTGAGGTAAACACAAGATAAGCAGGCTGACTTAGAAATAACCCACTTAGAGGTGAGGAAGGTGAAACAGGAGGAGGTAGGTCTTTTAATAACTGGTGGGAATACACAGTGGCTTATTGCAAAGGAAAGTATTAGAATTCTTTTCTCTTTTTTTAAAATTTAATTATTTTTGTCACACAGATATCAGTGTTTTAAATCAGCTTGGATGTACCAAGTCTTACATGAAGGATTCCACTTTCCCTATGACTACCCAAACCTGCGGACAGCCCAGCTGGTGTATGACCGAGAGGTTCAGTGGACGCTGGGAGCCATTCTATATAAAACACGGTTCTTACCACTCAGGTAAAGTAAGACTCACCAATCTGGTATCTTGAACTCAGAGGATATCAGTTGATGCCTCAGAATCAGTTTATTTATTTTAACCAGCTTAGAATAGGCCTTAAATGACCTTCCTCGCTACCTCCTCACAAAAACAAACTCCTTTACTTTCACGTGAGCCACTATTACTACCAGGCATGCTCGAACAGAAAGAAGGTTGAGCATTACTGGTCTGGAGTCTGTTCCTCAGCTTTGCTGTTTCAGAAATCCAGCTTTATTTGTTTACCCACAACAAATCAGTCTTTAGGACTGAAGTCTTACTAATCACTTCCAAGATACTGACAAGCTAAAATGTCATTCTTGGGTTACCCTGGAAAACACATCTGACAAAAGAACAGGGGTGGGATGTCTAGAGCAATCTTTCATAACGTAGGAAGGCACTCCAGACATTGTGTCATTGACTTAGGAGGCTTTTTGGTGGGTCAGAATTAGAATAAAGGATGTGAGATGTTTTTAGTGGGGCTACTTTCATCAAACTCTGGTAGCCTGATGCCTTACCTTTATGTACTGAAAGATATTTGGGACAATTTTTAGGTACTCTGTACCCTGGACTATTTCAGAGAAACTCAGATGAATTTTGTATCTTTGATGTCTATTCCTCTAAACTCAATACCGTCAGAAGCCAGGCAGGTAATAGAAGTGAGGGAAATGGGCTAGGTGGGGGTTGCCCACAACTGGAGCATGTACCCCGGTTAACGGGCTGGTTACTGTCACGCACAAGCACCGTCCCAGCATTTGCAAGTTCTCATCTGTCCAGAAAAGGCAGAAATCCATATTTTTTATAAGGTCTTTCAGTTTAGAGATTCACATTCTAGGAGAACACTGCAGGTCAAAGCAGACAGAACTAGATGTGGGATCTGGACCGCTGAAGAGTGGCTTCTGTTCTAGCGAGGTGGACCATTGCACTTGGTTTTCATATTGCCTTATTTTTGTCATACGGTTGATCAGGTAACAGCTTTATCTAGATATATCCTAGATCCTAGGGAAAACATAGTCCCTTTATTTTTATTTTATTTTATTTTTTTTTGAGACAGTGTCTTGCTCTGTCACCCAGGCTGAGTGTGGTGGCAGTGCCGTGTTCATAGCTCATTGCAACCTTGAACTCCTGGGCTCAAGTGATTCTCCCGCCTCAGCCTTCTGAGGAACTGGGAGTACAGGTGCTCGCCACCATGCCCAGCTAATTTTTTAATTTTTCTTTTGCAGAGATGGGGTCTTGTTATGTTGACCAGGCTGGTTTTGAACTCCTGGCTTCAAGCAATTCTCCTGGCCTGCCCTCCCAAAGTACTTTGACTATAGGCATGTGCCACTGCACTTGGCTGCATAGCAACTTTTAAAAAAGGATTTAGACACACTCTGATTTCTTTATTGGATTCAGGGGATCCCCTATTCTCATTAGTACTGTATTTATAACCATATTTTAAGATTTATGTTACAGGTGACCAATCTAGCCTTTCTGTTCGTTTTTTGGGCTTCAGTTTCAAAGGCCTTCCCATCTTGGCTTAGATTCTGGAGGGTGTAAGCCTGGAGGTCCCTTCTGGAGGCCATGGGAAGAAAGACACAGAAGGGCTCCTGGGGCAGGGGATGTTCTTCAGCTTTGCCTGCTCTGTGGACCTGGTGTCATTAAATGTTTATGTGGATGGAATAAACGTGATAACACTACTGGGCCTTTCAAATCAGAGTAAATGTCTCCCTCTGAAACTTAATTTTTTTCCACTTACAAATTCTTAATTCTTCCCCAGGGATCTTCGGCAGGAAGGTGTCCGACAAGCCCATGGTAGCTGGTTCCGTCTCTCCTTTGTATACAACCACTATCTCTTCTTTGCCTGTATCCTGGTGGTGCTACTGGCCATCGTCCTATACCTTCTGCGGCTACGGCGAATTCACCACCGACAAACACGAGCCTCAGCTCCATTGGACTTGCTGTGGCTTGAAGAGGTGGTGCCCATGATGGGAGTACAGGTGGGGCCGTGAAGCTGGACCAGGACTAGAGAAGCTTGAGCACCCCCGAGTTGCTGCTCATTGAATTCCTCCACTTTCTTATATGGCCTCAGATGCTGTGATGCCTGACCTTGTGGATATTTGCCCTTGGAATTTCTACTTCACTTTCTACCATAATTCCTTCTCAGTACCCAGGTCTTCTCTGAGAGAAGCTATAATTTAATCTGTGAGGAACTAAATGACAGGAGATTGGTGCTAATATGGGGGACCAAGCTTTGTCCAAGTGAAGCAGGCTTCGATTCCTTCTTCTGAGAGGTCTGGTGTGTTCCTGAAATCTCACCTTTTCTTCCCTTGCTAAAGCATGAAGTTTGGCATTGGGCACACTGGAAGCCTGGTTGAAATGAAACTTGTAGCATCTGATACAAAGGCAGAGACATTCTAGCAAGTGCAGCAGCCCCTTCTTTCTCTGTAACAGAGATATCATTTATGTGGAGATCCACAGCCTTTAATAGGGATCCAAGATCTTTGCAGTTCAACGGACCACACAGGAATTTCCAGGCACCAAAATGATATTAACTTCCTTGCTTACCTGACAAAGAAGCCATCACGGGTGTGATCCAAGATCCTTGTCATAGTGTTGTTGATGTTTTACATGATTTTAAAGGTTAGAACCCCTTCTAAATGAATGGTCTGTGGAAGATTTTAGTATCTTATCTGATGTCTGGTATGACAAGGATAGAAAATTTTTCCATTTTTATGTGCCTCACAGGCTGTTTGGGCATTAATTTTGCTTTTTGAGCCTTAAGTGTGTTAGCAGGATGGAGAAACTGATGGGGACTGGGAACCTGGATTTGTCTGATTTTAGGTCACTGTTCCCTAGGCCTGTTTTTGTGAGCCCTTAAACAGGAAGATACAAAGAGAGTTCTTTTATTTCACTGCTAAACTCAGTATGTAGTTTGGGGAATGTATTTGAGTTGTTTTTAAAGAAAAGGGGAAGAACCAGGAGAGTGGGCAAAGGCAATAAAATCAAAGTTCTTATTATTTCTGAGAAATAGAAGTTTTCTCAATTTCTGACTCTTGGAATGTCTGAAAGGGAGCAAACTCTAAACTTCGCAATAGACCATCTGTTAATAAGCCATCTGGCAACTTTCACAACCTCTGTTAAGAGACTGCTCAGTCACAAACAGCCCTTCCATTAATGAAGCGAGAGGAAAAGCCATTCACCCACCACCCTTCCAGAGTTTTGCTTCTCCTCCACATTTAGCCATTAAATTGCATGAGGATTTCTCTTCATCAGGGTCCATATGGAATCTTTCTGTTTTACCCTTTCCTACATGTAGCCTTGAATGTCCTGTCCACAAATATGCTCCCGGGGTGGAAGCATTTTCTTTTTTGTCACCTTTGATTTCTGGGATTAGATGAATAGGGGAAAAAGTCCCTGGCTTCCAAGAAAAAAAAGTAGAATTCTTCAAAAATAAATTTCATACTGGGAACAGAAAGGAATTAAATGCTCCATAAAACAGGGAAAAAGAAATTAAGATCATCCTAGAAATTAACTAAGATAAAAATAAGTATACTGACCCTTGGTTGGGATAAGAAGGTAACCAGTCTTGCATAGTTTTAAAATTAGATAAACATGGACTAAACATGCTAAGACTTTGTTCCTTTTTTTTTCCTTGGAGACAGGGCCTCACGCTGTCACCCAGGCTGGAGTGCAGTGGTGCAATATCATGGCTCGCTGCAGCCTCAACCTCCTGGGCTCAAGTAGTCCTCCCACCACAGACTCCTGAGTAGCTGGGACTACAGGTGTGCGCCACCACACTCAGCTAATTTTTTATTTTTTTTTTTAGAGATGGAGCCTCACTATGTTGTCCAGGCTGGTCTCAAACTCTTGGGCTCAAGCAGTCCTCCTGCCTCGGCCTCCCAGAGTGCTGGGATTATAGGCATAAGCTACTGCACCTGGCCTCTGTTTCCTTTGGAAATATCTTACCTTTCATTAGGGCTTTTTTCATAGCAATTTCCTTTGGTTTTTAAGACTTCTACATTGATTTGATTTTCTTTTATTATCTGTGCTCCATGAACTTTATGAACGCTGCTTAATAATGTCAAAATATGTTTTAGCTAGCCATTGCCTACTCAGGTAACATTTTCTTTTGTCCTAGTCTTGGTTTCAATATACTATCTTTGGTTTTCTTGTGAGATCTAATCAGAAGCTACTTAACTGGCTAACAATGATCATACTCATGTACTAAAAATGAACTTGAAACAGGGAAGTAGTGACTGGTCCAATTTGAAAGCTCTTAGTATTCTTCATCCTGGCTGTAATAATAGCCATTATTTGTTAAACCTTTGTTATGTACCAGACACTCCTAAGGATTTTATGTGTATTATTGAAACTGATACTACTCTGTTCTTTTTATAGTTGAGAATCTCAGGATACCTATATTTATCACTTTTTCAATATATATGTATTTCTTATTGTCTTGGAGTGTTTAATGTGTTATACATCCTGTTCATTACTTTAATATTACAGGATCTAGGCTTATCTTTATTACCATGAGCAAGGCTTCCAGGAGTTCCACAGTACTGAAGGAAAATTTTATCGTATCCCTCAGGAGAACTGAATAGTTACTGTTGGTATTAGCTCCTTTGTTTCTTCTATTCTCCCAATTAATAGATTTTAAATGAAATCTCATTAGCTAGAAACAAAAGCCACTTATTCCTTGCTGAGTGCCAATTACTTAAATATATTGCTTCCTTATAATAAAATAATTTGCTTATAGGCGCAGAAATCTATCTTGCCATACCCTTTGGTTTTTAAAGATTTCTCTTCTGTTTGCATTTCTGCACTTTGGTGGTTCTCCCATGAAGATAATTATGGTGTCATAAAATTCACATTCCACTGGTTCCTTTGAATCTTACCAACCACTCTTGTTTCAACAGAGACAATGAACCTGAACTGTTTTAGTACTCTTGTTATTACTGAGACAGGTCACAAATATCAAAATAGGAGTCAATGGCTTGTAGTGATGCTTTTTAGTCTTGTGATAGCACAATCCATCACTTTCCCCAAAATTCTTGTCACAAGAACATAATGAAAATATGTAAAATACCCATTTATGTGGCATTTTATTCACTTAAGTTGCAGTTAACTCTAAGCCAAATTATACCATTTTTTCTCTCTGTACTTTAGCTCCTTGAATTTCCTTAATCTGGGAAACTTTTGTTCCCACACGAAGGAACAAATTCAGGGGGTACAAGTGCAGGTTTGTTATATGAGTATGTTGAGTGATGCTGAGGTTTGGGGTACAGATCCCATCACCAGATGGTGAGTATAGTACCTAACAGAGAGTTCTTCAACCCGTGCCCTCCTCTCTCCCTCCCTGCTCTATTAGTCCACAGTGTCTATTCTGGTCTGGGAAATTTTCATTACTTTCCACCAATCTTCTATTTATTCTCCAAATGTCTTTCAAAGTATCCTGCCCCACCCCCTTCTCATCCTAAGAGAGTCCTTTAACTTCAAGATCATGTCCGGTGATTGCTGAAAAATGTCTGCCATGCACTTGCTAATAGTCTTTTTAGACATGAACATTTATTATCACATCCATATTTAAATTTTTGAAATAATTTATACTTCTCACTGGTATCATCTAAACAGATGCTTCTCACAGTTTTATGTTCTGCTTTTTCTCAGGGATGAAAGACAAGTGAGTGGTATCACTTAAGGGAAAGACCAGTGGGCTTAACGAATAGCGGACCTGGATTCTAGTTCTGGCTTTGTCATTTACTAGCTCTGGTACCTCAGGCCAGTCACCTGCCATCTCTGGTTTGGTTCTCATCTATCAAACAAAGTGGCTAGACAAGATTAGAAACTAAAGGCAGAAGACAAGGTAGAAAAATCATGATTTTGGGAAAAGCATTTTGTCCTTTGGTTTAGAAGACCAGGCTGCCCAAAAAAGCCTCCTATTTTATCCATAACCCCTGATGATAAGGTTGTTGGGAACGGAGTTTCTAATAGCAATCACAATAAATTTCAGAAGAGTTTTAAAGCTGGGATTTTAAAGGTCTTCTGGCCAACCCCCTTGATTTATATGGGGGATGAAACTGAGGCCTAGAGCAGTTGTAATATGTGCAAAGTCATAGTGACTGGCCTTCTAGGCCCCGGGTTCCTGTGTAACACAGACACTCCAACTACTTTGTCAGCTATAATGAAATGCTCATTAACAGAATCTTTCTGCAAGTATAAACAGAATCTATTCTTTATAAAACAGCTGGCCACCACTAACCATGCCCAATCTTTACGACTGCTTCTGACATTCATTTATGACTGCTTTGCTCACATTTAGGAATCAACTTTGAAAAAAATACTTTGTTAGAAATAGTGCCAAGTTTTCACTACATCTACTCTAGTTTCTGTATTTCTTTTTGTACTTTTAAATTTTATACATCTTTTTATAACAATTTTATACAATTTCCTTTACTACAACATCCAAGCAATTCATTAGATGACTACAGCCCAGATGAAGGTTAAATGCCTATTACATCTGCCTCATTAAAGAACTTCATTGTAATTCTTGGGCAGTTTCCAGACTCTGTTACAGAAACAGAGGGCTGTTTCTTTTTGTTGTCTTTGAACTTTTCAAATTAATTCAAAACTAGTATCTAATTGTCCTTTTTGCTGTGGTATGTGGTGTAATGTTGATTGGGAATAAGAATTATGGTACAAATAGCAGATGTTTCCAATTCTCCCATATTAGTCTCTTAGGGACACTAGCGCCAGAGTCCAGCCCCTGGGGCAATAGGCTCTGTCAAACTTGTGAGAATTTTGCAGGTGTTACAAAAAATATTGCTGTTAAAAACTACGACTCAAAACCAAAAGTTGTGATTAATAACAACAGGATTATTAGCAATAATATTTTGATTAATACTATAGAATAGCAAAGAGTGAATATACCTCCAATTGAAAACTTTTAGGTTGTGTTCTTGGCTCTCTCTCTCATAACCCTGGATCTAAGTTGGAAAGCTGTGGCACCCTGTTTGGGTGTCCCATCTACCCTGTTTTCTATTTCTGCAGATGGCTTGTTCAAACTTCATTTTAAGCCTGCTCTGTCTACTTTAATCTTACTTATATCCTAACAGACTTCTCTTGTGTTAGTACACGTTTCTCTTTTGCTCTAATATTTCCTGATTTTCCAGTTTGTCGGTACTGTTATTAGAGGGACAGGGAAGGAACAACACACCAGTTGACCATTTTGTTTCTCTGAAAATGTGAGCAATAAGGAGATCCTTTTATTAATAAAACTGAATCATTACTCATACTACAAGGGCTTTCACTTTTAAAATGTAATCTATCATTGCTTCCATTTTTATGAACACCAAAGTTGAAAAATTTTCTGAATCACAGGCTACATATAGCCACATATGCATGACTTCAGGCTAGCATAAAGACATGTCTGCTCCTGAGCCTCTTCTTTTAAAGTAGGGCAGCCACTGTATACCCTCTGGTGGCCCACTCCTTCTCCACTCCAGGGCAGCCCCGGTACTTTCCTAAGCGGCCCCTCGTACAGAGCGCTTGCTGCCGGTGAAGACTGCCCCTTACTAGCTGCTGCAAGAAGGGATCCCAGACACACACTTTGGTTTCTAGTGTTTCAGTTACTGTGTCGTATTTGAAATTCTCATTCCACAGTTCCCCTTTAGCTGAAGTCCTGAAGTACATGCCGTGTCTCCCCCTTTATTTCTACCTTGATCAATGGCCTCTGTGGAGTGTAGTGAAAGACATCTTTTTATTATGATCCATAACTAGACACTGCACACTTCAAAAAACCAAAGGCTGCCTGTATTACATTGCTTTGGGGAGCTGTTAAGACTCTATGTTTTTCTACTGCTTCACATTAAACAATAATTTTGTTGAATTTTGAATTCTTAAAATTCTCACTGACAAACATTTTAAGTCAGTGTTGAGGAAAATGTGTGATGCATGTTAGAGAGGTAATGCATTCTCCCTTATGCAGGGACATGGGTATATGTGTTACATATGCTGATATATAACCCACCATTCATCCCAGGACCACAAGGGTAGCTGTAGATAAATTGGTTATCCTAAAATCATGATCATCAGTGTTGATCTCTGCAACCAACATTGCTTTATGGAGTTGCTAATCATTACCCTTACTACAATAGAATTTGTCAGTCTAAGTTATAGACAAAAAATTCTAGGTTGACTGATTAAGAAAGCCATGTGTTTTAATTTCCTTTATGTTTTAAAAACAATGGACATCAGTGCAGAGAGACCTTTGAAAATATTAAGGGAGATCTAGTAGTTAATCCTATAGGTACGTGATGACTGTTTTTTTTGAAAAAGATATTTGGGATATCAATCTGTAATTGTTAATTTTCCATTCATGCATTCACTAATTCAATATTTGATATGTGACTGGGAGTGCTGGGAATAACATAAACACAAAAAATAACTAAGATAATCATCATTCACCGGAAGCTCATAGGTGGCATAATACAGGTATATAGCTAAATGCAACCAGTTGTTTTTCCAAATGTATTCATCATCTGTAATAAAAGAAAAATGAAGTAAAACATCTGAAACCTTCACTTACGAGTTGCTACTTCCTTGGAGGGAACTGTAGAAGCATTAATATATGGTTCTTTGGGTTGGGTCATACTGCCCTCTGCTGACTCAGTTATTAACTAAGGAGAACCTGGGTTTGAGGATCAGGAGAGGATAGTATGGGAACTTGCCTCAGAAATACAGTTCCCTTTCTTTGAAGGATTCTATCCAGAAGACACCATATCCTACTAACATACTAAGGATCAACAGAGCAGATCAAATGATAAGGTAGGGTGGATATTAGAAGGGAATGGGAATAAGCTAGTAAGAACTTTCTAAGGTAACTAGGCTATTAGGACCTAAGCCGGTGGTCCCTAGACTTGTCTGCACATTTGAATCACCTGGGGAACTTTAAAAATATGCCTTTTACTGCCTCCAGGGATTGTGACTTAATTGGTCTTATATGAGGCTTGGGTTTTGGGATTTTTCTAAGATTCAACTAAGAGAGAAGTTGGGAATTTCTTCTAGGCAATAGCATAAGCCCACCCAGGGTCCAGGATTTATGAAAAATTGACAAACTGTTTTGCTAAGAATCACCTGTGTTAGTCCGCTTGCGTTGCTATAAGGAAATACCTGACAATTTTTATAAAGAAAAGAGATTTATTTGGCTCACAGTTCTGCATAGAACTGTATAGGAAGCATGGCGCTGGCATCTGCTGCTGGTGAGAGCCTCAGGAAGCTTACAATCATGGCGGAAGGGGAAGGGGAGCCAGTGTGTCACATGGTGAGAGACAGCAAGAGAGAGAGGAGGAAGTTCCAGGCTCTTTTGAACAACCAGCTCTTGCGTAAACAACCAGAGTGAGAACTCACTCATTACTATGGGGATGGAACGAAGTCACGCATAAGGGATCCGCCCCCATGAACCAAATACCTCCCACTAGGCCCACCTCTAACACTGAATGTCACACTTTGAACATGAGATTTGGAGGGGACAAAACATCCAAACCATATCACTACCTGAGAATGGTACACTACAGGTCACACAGAAACTTCCAGAGTACTGGAGTTGAAAGAAAACTGAGATCACCTAGTTCAGAGATTAAAAATGGAAAACGTTAAGTCATTTATGGCTCTCAGACATGTTAAGCCTGCATAACATTTTTTAAAATCTTGAAATTAGTTCCCAACACTTAACTGAAAGCTTTCACAGAAAAATATAGATATGTGGCTTCTTTAAAAAAAAAAAAAAATATTTGGTACCTTAAACACTGTAAAATTAACATTTATATCTGAATCCAGCATCTCTTTTTGCTTTGTAAATGAGGTCAAGGATGAAATCCAGATGTTCTCCCTTTGTATTTATCTTGTCACTGTATGGAATCTAGGTATATCCAAGGAAAACTAAACTTAAGATAAACTTATTTTCCTTATTTCAAAAAGCAACAAAAACCCAGAAATCTAACAACCCTGGACCTGTAGAGCAGCAGCAGCAGAACAAAGCTCAGTAGTTTAGTCTGAGCTGGGGCACCTGCTCGCCAGTGTTACTGTCTCCACCAGCCTGACCCCAGAGCATTTGATTTGTCTACCCTACTCTTGCCTTCTACAGAACTAAAACTAACTTCCTGCAACTTTCACCCATTGCTGCCAGGTCTGCAGCACAATGGAAGCTCATTCCCTCTTCTGCATGAGATAGCTTCAACTTCTCAAGGACAGGAATCTTGCTCTCTCCCCAGATGTTCTCTTCTCCAGTTAAATATCCCCAGTTCCTTCAACTGTTCCCTGTGTGATAGGGGTTCTGGACTCATCACCATTCTGATCTCTTCTTCTGGATACACACTTAGTGGCCATCAATATCTTGCTTAAATTTGGTACCCAGAGTGAAATGCAACATGTTAGGGGTATTCTGACTATGGCTATGACACTTCTACTGATAAAACCTGAAGTACCACTAATTTTTCTGTGTTATATAATAACAACATGAATACTAGTTGGTTCATATTGAACCTGAGGACAACTGAAATCCTCAAGTCTTTTTTATATGAAATGATATAAGGCCAGGTTTCTTCAGCCCAAACTTCTACAACTTATTTAATTTGAATGAGTATATTTCTAATCTGTTTACTTTCTTCTCGATGGCGTCACTCTGGGACTGTTTTCAGTTGCCACTGTCATCTATTATATTAGCAATATTGGGTTGCTGCATCCTCAAATCAGATGTTCCTGATACCTTCATCCAAATCACTGATTTTAAAAATAAAGTTAAATAAGACAGAGCCCTATGAAATATCAATAGAGACCAAAATCACATTAATTCAGCAGTCAACAATTTGTTTAAATATCTGAATAGATGTCCATGTACTACACCATCAAGGCCATATTTTTCTTATTACAAAGTTGTTAGGAAACCCTCTCAGGAACCAATTTATACCGTCGATTCCATTCCTCTCTCTGACCTTGTAATGTTAACATCCTTATCAAAAGAGGAATTAGCTGGGAGCAGTGGCCCACGCCTGGAATCTCAGCACTTTGGGAGGCCGAGGTGTATCAGGGGAACCCACCCCCGATAGTTAACATGGGTTCTTTTCTATTTCCCTAAGTGTCTAGGCTGGTTTGAGAAATAAAGGGAAAGAGTGCAAAAGAGAAATTTTAAAGCTGGATGTCCGGGGGAGACATCACATGTTGGCAGGTTCCGTGATGCTCCCCACACCGTAAAACCAGCAAGTTTTTATTAGCGATTTTCAAAAGGGGAGGGAGTGCACGAATAGGGTGTGGGTCACAGAGATCACATGCTTCACAAGGTAATAAAATACCACAAAGCAAGTGGAGGCAGGGCGAGATCACAGGACCACAGGATGGGGCGAAATTAAAATTGGTAATGAAGTTTCGGCATGCATTGTCATTGATAATATCTTATCAGGAGACAGGGTTTGAGAGCAGACAATCTGTCTGACCAAAATTTATTAGGTGGGAATTTCCTCATCCTGATAAGCCTGGGAGCGCTACAGGAGACCGGGGCTTATCTCATCCCTTGACCATAAAAGACGGCCGCCTCCCAGGTGGCTGTTTATAGACCTACCCTCAGGGCGCATTCTCTTTCTCGGGTATTTCCTTGCTGAGAAAAAGAATTCAGCGATATTTCTCCTATGTGCCTTTGAAAGAAGAGAAATATGGCTCTGTTCTGTCGGCTCACCAGCAGTCAAGAGTCCAAAGTCTTATCTCCCTTGTTCCCTGAACATTGCTGCTATCCTGTTCTTTTTTTTTTTCAAGGTGCCCAGATTTCATACTGTTCAAACACACGTGCTCTACAAACAATTTGTGCAGTTAACGCAATCATCACAGGGTCCTGAGGCGACATACATCCTACTCAGTTTATGAAGATGATGGGATTAAGAGATTAAAGACAGACATAGGAAATCACAAGGGTATTGATTGGGGAAGTGATACGTGTCCACGAAATCTTCACAATTTATGTTCAGAGATTGCAGTAAAGACAGGCGTAAGAAATTATAAAAATATTAATTTGGGGAACTAATAAATGTCCATGAAATCTTCACAATTTATGTTCTTCTGCCGCAGCTTCAGCTGGTCCCTCCGTTTGGGGTCCCTGACTTCCAGCAACAGAGGTGGGCAGATTACCTGAGGTCAGGAGTTCAAGACCAGCCTGGCCAACATGGTGAAACCCCTTCTCTACTAAAAATACAAAATTAGCCAGGCATAGTGACTTGTGCCTGTAGTCCCAGCTACTTGGGAGGCTGAGGCATGAGAATCGCTTGAACCCAGGAGGTAGAGGTTGCAGAGTGAGCTGAGATCACACCACCGCACTCCGGCCTGGGCAACAAGAGTAACTATGTCAGAAAAAAAAAAAAAAGGCAACTATTTGGCGATTACCTCCTTTTCCAAGTACTCATAAACCACTTTGCTACATATACACATTAAGCTTGTCAAAATCTGCAATTTCCCCATTTCTGAAAATCAGGATATTAGAATACATTAGCTTTTTTTTTTGCTGAAGACCAGCTGGCTACTTTGGGTATGTCCATCCTATCCTTTCAATCTTCACTTAATGGAAGTAAACTTAAGATCATAAAGAAATTCTATTTAGGCAGAATTAAGGACTCAGGAGAACAAGGAGACAGAAATTATCCATGTAGAATGAAGAGCTTGCCAACACTGAAAAACCTGACACAAAGCCTGTTAGGCAGTAAATGGCAGACATTTCTTTCTCTACATTAAAACTGATTTTCAACATGAAAAGCAGATTTACAGGGAACCTTTAGGGTAACCACACTTAATGCATTCTTGATCCAGTGACTATCTCAAAACAGGAAAAGATTTTTAAGTAAGTTGACC